AGCACCATGACTTTGTGGAGGCTTTTCCTCCAAAGGCTGTGAGCCCCACCACCCAAGGGCCCTGTGCCCACCTTCTGATGAGGAAAATGTTCAAACCGGCACATCCCTGCTGGCAGTGTCCATGCACGGACACCCACAGCCTGGGGTGGGATCTGGATCCAGCTTGTGCTCAGCAGACAAAGATCTAGGTGGTGCTCCCAGCACTCACAAGCCTGCTCCCTCATCCAGCAAAATTCCCACTAGCTCTCCAAATCTGGCCCAGAGGCACATGTGCCGCACTGAACGATCACCAGGTCCTTGTAGCATCTCCAAGCAGAAGTGACCAGAAGTGGAGTTTACCAAAACTAGCTGGAAAAAGATTTGCTATGGTGAAAACATGGCCATGAGAATGATTTGGGAGATGAAATGGCTGTGCAGGTCTTTGCGGTCAGGATGTGAAATACTCGTTTCGAGCCACAGTCTTGTAGAATTTGGAAAAATTCATAGCACACACCACTATGTGAAAAGAACAGGCTTTTCTGCTTGGCCATTGCTTCAATTATTTCGCTGAGCATGAAAACTTTTTTTGAAATTAGCTGTTCATTTTCCAGTTGCTAACCGGCTTTATTTCCCGCACTTGCCTATTTTTATCACGTTCGGATGGTGCCTATTACTGGGAGCTGGGAGGGCGGAGGTTTAATTTGTGTCATTAATGTTCTAAATAAAGACACCCGCCCGCCACGCGGCTGCACGGGGACATGATGCAGCGTCTTCACTGCCCTGCTGCTGGTGGGGACTGCGTTTGAGCAGTGATGCCTGTGGCCCAGCAAAAGGGATGTGGTGTGGCTGGGGGCACGTCCCCAGCTTGTGTAGGTCTTGGTAGAGCTGCCTGTGGTGGTCTGGTGGCTCCTGTGCAGAGGTGGTAGTGCCATTTTTGGCCCATGAAGGGGTTGCCAGTTACGACTTCCTCAGTCGGGGTTGATTTTCACCTTTGTGGGCCTTGCTCGTGCTGGGTAAGTGGGAACCCTCATGTAGACCTTAGTGGGGGCTGATGCTTGGCTGCTTTAGGCTGTTCTTGAAAATAAAATGAGTAGAGGAGGCTCCCTGCACAAGGGCCCTCTGTTAGAGCAACAACTGCCTCCCCCGGGGAGAGGCGGGTGGGAGCCTCCTCACTTTGCAGCTGCTTCTACTTATTTTGAACAAGAAGAGCAGAAATGTCAGCCCTCCGTGCTGCCTGAGAGGTGTCTGGGATTAGCACACCCTCCCCTGTTTAGGGTGATGGCACTCAGGGAGGGGGCAGTAGTTAGGGAAGTTGGAGGGAGCCTGTGTCCCACTGCTTGGCAGGAGCAGGGCTGCCCGGGGGACTGGGCTGTTCCCTCAGAGGGGCTGCAGTGAGGCACCGGCTCTCCACAAAACAGGTTTTTAGCATCTGTACTGTTTTCTAGCTGAACTCCCTTTTTACTCCATGCCATGATTAAAAAAGATGTTCTGTTGTGTAAAATGCCTCTCCCTCAGCATCGGTCCAGGGAGAATTACAGTTTGCAATTGCACTGACAGTGCAGAAGGATATGACAGATAAAGCCTGAATTAAAAGGGGAAAAAGCAAACCCCAGGAAGCAGCTTATGTAAAATATTTGTTGTGGTCCTCTCCTGATCTTTTCAAGATCCTTGGAAAAGATTCCTGTGCTGTGAAGATGTTTTACCTGACCAGGCACCTCCCCATGCCTCTCCCTGATACCTGAACCAAAACATTCAAAGTAGGAGACTGTCACAGCAAGTGACAAGAAGAAGGAGATGAACATTTACTGTTCATAAACCTGACCTCTTCTCTTCTGCCAGGCAATTTCCCTGATATATATGACAAGGAGAGAGCAGGAGAGTGTGTATGGAAAGTGTTCCCACAACTGAGATCTTCTTAGAGAGAACAGATCTACTTATTAATGATTTATTTATTTATTAATTTTTCACCCTAAGGTTTCTAATGGCCAATTAAAGAAGTTCCTTGAGCCTCCTTTTGTTTCAGTCTCTTCTCATTCCCAAGAGCAGGAAAGGATGCTTTTAGGATTATTAAGTCTTTCTTTCTTTAAAGTCCTGTTTGGGCTTTAGTTGATCTGGAGATAAGATCATTTCTGTTAGTGTCTGTCAGGACTGGTAAAGAAGAGCTCCAGTGTTTGGTAGATAACATTAAGGTTGTAAACTTTTAAGTTGGGGGCATCTATCTTGCACGTGTCAGGCGGTGCTTATGTTTGTATTTATGGCTTTTGGTAGTCCAAAAAAGAATTTATGTCTTTTCAGGTCATTGTGGCTGGGCAGAAGGTGTTCAGTGATCCTCATGAGGCTTCGGTGTCTCCTGCTCTGCCTAAACCTGACATGTTTCCTTGCTGTGTTGAAAACATGACAGTAAGGGAAACGTATGTAAGGCTTTTGCCTTGGCCACTTTTTGTGCTTCCTTGTAGAGTTCCTCCTCCCTGCAACTTAAAGCAACTTATTCCACCCTCTTGACTTTTCTGGAGGTAGGCTCTGGCTAGCCTTCACCTTAAGGGAAGTGATCACTTGGTTAAACCACAATCTTGTTTGTCAAACCCCTGCTGGGCTAAATAGTGGCCAGAGAGTATCCCCCCTCCCAACCTTGATTCATGCCAAAGCACTTTAGAGATGGACAGGGGCTCCACCAGAGACAGCACTTGACTGATATTTTGGATAGTACAGTCTAGACTTTCAGTGCTTCAGGTTTTTTATGAAGCTGCTTTTCCTGTCAAAGGGCTGCCTAGGAACCTGAGCTTTCCTTTAACAATAAATTTTGAAGTCTCTTGGCTGGGAAGAAAACTGTGAAACCTCAGCTGTGGCCGAGGGCTGCACGGGGCTGCCTTAAGGGGCAAGGGGTGGGTGGAGTGACCTGTGCTGTGCCCATGTGTTTGAAATGTCTTCAGCACAGCTGGAGGGACAAGAGATGGCAACGCATCCTTTACACCTTGTCATTGACCTTATAGAGTCCCCAGCTGCTGATAAGGACAACCTGACAACAAAAACCACCCTGGGTATTAATGTATGCACGTACTTGAACATGTGCAAAGCAGGTACTTTCTGAAGGGGGGGCACTCCCCAGCTAAATCAAAATGTGCATTTAGAAATACGAAAATGTTCATACCACCTGTCACAGTGGTGATTGCAGGAATGTGGTGATCTCTGAATCTCACCGGGTCGGAGAGGGCTCTTGCAGGATATTGTCGGAATTATGAGAAAGAACATGAGACTAGAGAGATACAGAGGATGAATATTCCCTGGTTTCACCCCATGAACACAAAGGCACTTGTTTGCTGCAGATGGCAAGTGTCTTGTGAGCACAAGAGGCTGCAGAACTTCTGTTCAGCGTAAAGACAAGGTCTTTGCATGAAATCAGGTAACTAGCTGCTCCTCTGTTTGCATACGGAAATCCCTCATTTGTGTGCAGAAATGTTGCTGGTTTGTGTAACTGTTTGCTCACGCAAAATTTACATCTTGAAGTTTGTCCTGAAGAGACCTGCTGAAGAGTTACAAACCTCACATCCCCGTTACAGTGGCACGTTGTGGGAAACGTGGCGCACAGTCCAGACTAAAACAATGGGAATCAGAGAAAACACAGCTCTACTCTGAAACATGTTGATATTTCATGTTCTAATACCCATTTAGCAAACATGGAGGAGACAGGAACGATGAGACATTTGATACAAGGGTTGTAAAATAAGGCTCAAAGGGGGAGACAGAAGGAAAGAGAAAAACAAAGTTTTTTAGTTTGACTAAACGTGTTCAGTCTTTTAGTCAATCAAATGCCCTTCAGATATAGGCAGGCTACTTCAAAACTTCCCCATCTCTCCCCCACAGCATCAAACTGGAAGAGGTTGAAGCTCTGGCTGACAATAATCTTCTGCATTCCCCAGTTACGTACTCATCCACTTTAAAATAACTTGGTGGGTGACAAGTTATTTTCTTAACCTCCCCATTTTCAGCTTGCTGCTAAATCAGTTTTCTCATTTTCTATGCACGAGCTACTTATCCCCTGTGCTGAATGCAAATAGCTCTGTAACTTAGGACTTGTTGAACAAGTATATTTAAGTTATTACAGCTCATGGAGAAGTAACATAATATGCAGTGAAAATAAACAGGGCACTACATAAAACTTGTGTTATCTTCCATGTCAGCAATATTTAGGAAGGAAGTTATTTGGAAAGAAAATGTTAGTTTGCATTAGGTAGCATAATGTGTGACTGAAGAAGAGTCAAACAGTTGTTTTAGAGACTTGGAAATACTTTACATTTCCAAGGGAAATAGAGCCCTGAATAACAAACCACGGTGTTGATTGGCCCCACTGCCACAAGAACTTCGCAGGGCCACCAGTCTTGTGTGTGGAGTTAAGGGTGTGATTGATAACCTGCTGAACTGGGACAGTGGTTTCCGTCACTGGAGGAGGCAGAGTGCTTCCTGGCAGGAAGGGCAGATTCTGCTGTCCTCCTTGCAGAAATAAAACATGGAGAAAGGCTGTAGCATCTGGGTGATTGGTTCTTTGGCTTGGGTGGCACACGACCCTCTCAAGAGCAGCTGCTCCTCCCAACAGGGGTCCAGGTGGGCCAGGGGGGCAAACACCACCCAGAGCAGCTGGAAGCAAAACCAGAGGGGCCCAGACCCCTCTGTGTCAGCCCCCAGCATGGGAGGTTCTCCAGTGAGAGATCATCCTGTGCTCCACTGCTGACCAAGAAGGTACCTCTCTGCCTGCAAACAGTCTCAGGACTTCGGTGGGGAAACACTGAACTCATAACCCTCTGTACAGTTCCTGTGGCACTTACAATGCTTGTCAAAGAGATGGAAGAGAAATACTGTTTAACAATGAGAAATACTGATAAATTTTTGCAAAGAAGAAATGGAGTGTGTGTAAAAAAAACATTAACCTCATCTGCACGCAGGTCATATGTTAAAATGTGTTATTTTGATGGTATTTATGGATGTGATGCTGCTTGTCCCTTATCATGAATTTTTCTTTGTTTCAGGTAGGAATGAATTGATAGCCAGATACATCAAACTTAGAACAGGGAAGACACGGACCAGGAAGCAGGTAAAATAACCCAGTGGGGAAGTATGCATGTCAGTGAATGACAAAACATGGCATTTTTGGCTGCAGTGGCTGTCTGTGCTTCAGCTCTGATGAGATGATGTATTGACTTCACTGTTCAGATTAAATACATGCTGTTTAGAGAATATTTAAAACTCTGGGGCTGTGCATCATCATTTCAGGGGTGGTTTGAGGATGAATTTTTTATTAGTCTATGTGTACATGAACCTGTTATTCCCCTGTATTTGGGGAAAAACATTCAGAAGTTGAAGCAAAAGCATAAAGCATTATGCCTTATTTCTCTATAATATAGTATAACTACAGAATATAATGATTATTTTTAGATGGTGAATAATGGAACTTCTTAAAAGTCAAGAGAATTTGCTAATATAATAGAAATCATGATTCTTGGATATGAGAGGTAAATAAATAAAAGCGATCTAGCAGAACTGATCGTAATCATGCTGTCAGCTCATGGCCAGTTAGTTGCCAGAGAATGAAAAAATAATAAAAAAAGTCCCCAAAGGGCCTTCAGGCTCCTGGTCTGTGACCACGGTAAGATTTCATTCATCAAAGAGACGGAATAAACCTCAAACCAGTCTTAAAATTTTTTTCAGACAATTATCAGATAACCATTAATTCACCTCATGTGACTAAATCCCTTAATTTGTAATATTCCTGGCGATCAGCAGCCTCGCAGAAGGCACACGCTCCGTGTAGTTTATGCACTGGTTACTAAACCCTTGTGCTGTCTAAAAGCACCTCACAAATTGCGGAGTCCCCTCGCTTCCTCTAACGCCAGGTGCAAGGTTCCACCTCTCACCAACGTGTGTGACCAAGGGGATGGCAGGGGCTTGCACACTTGCATGATGTACCTGTTCTGTAGTGCAGGGAAAGGTGACTCTGAGTCAGCAAACTCTGCTGCCAGCACTTGGACTTAAGGCACTTTGGGTGCTGGTTTGCCCTGAGTGGTGTCCCTTGTCAGTTAGGAAGAAAAACACGTGTACGAGGGATGAAAAAAAGGCACGAGAAAGGAGAGAAACTGCAGCATGTGGAAAAGGAACAAACCAGAGATTGGCAAAGAAATCTGAAAGAAAAGGACGAGTCCCAAGCTCTGCCTGCCATGCCCGTGCAAGCTCCAAAAGTTGGGGGTTGTGCTGGGATCGTAAAGTTGCATCAGCAGTCAAAATGCAGACCTTGGAGCTAGATCCTTGGCCAGCATGTGCCGAGAAACCAAGGGGGTTGTGATGGCTTACATGTGGTGATGTCTGCTTCCATACTTGTACCTCCCTCTATAGGGATTCATAAATCACTTTAGACTGACTGTTTAGAACTTTGGAGTTTTAACTGAGCAATTAAATGTTACGATTGTGCTTCTTGTATAACCTTTAACATCGCTAATACTCCACTGAAAGCAAAACAAATGGACATGTGTGAAAACTTGGTCTATGTGCTGGACTACAAAATTGCTTAGTAAGCAGCAGTATAACTCTGAATTACTGCAAGCTGGTTCCTGAGCTGCTTCTCAAAGAAGTCTCTGAAGGTGACCTTCAGGGACTGTGGACACTGATCCACTACTATCCTCTTGCCTACCAAAATACAGGCTTTTTGATACTGTTGTCATGGAACAGTCTTACAGAGGGAGGAAAGCATTGTTTCTCCTTTTCTTTTGCTTTGTTCTTTCCCAGACAGGAATTGTAACTAACTTAGGAAAAATTAGCACCACCTGATATGGTATGTCCTGGGTCAAACAAGAATAAGAGATTTCCCTTTAGTGTTTTTTTACTGTCACTGCAGGTTTTAAACCTTCACACAGAAGGCCATGGGATGCTGAGCACTACTGAGTGATGCTGGGCAGCATCGTTAAACCCTCATCAGCAATAGCATGAATTTCAGTATGTCCCTGGGTAAACAGGAATGTGAATTTTTGTTCCCAGACCCTACAGTGCACAGACAACAACTTCTGTACAATAACTGGTCTAGTGCAGGTCTGGGTTTACACAAATTTCTGAACAAAATGTGATGACCACAGTCCAAACCTGGGCATCACTCAAGCTGATGTCAAGTTACTGGTCCCCACTTACATGGGTGTATGTGGGCAGACTTGATGCTGAGATTACAGAGGAAGCCAGCACGTGTTCAGGGACCTGTGTTGTGCCAGTATTTTATTGTTTGTGCCAGAATTTAAAGCATTTCAGTGGAGTCAAAATGCAGCCCGAGTCTTCTCATTGGAGCTGCAGAGCACAATAAATAATGGATAAAGTTTTCTTGGTGCCAAGTAGTGTCTCAAGCCTAGTGGCAAATGGTCAGAGCGGGCATCTGCATCCACAGCAGATGGGGTAGAAATCCTGTGGGCTCCCCGTGCGAGAGCGCCGGGCCTGGGCATGGATGGGATCGGTACCAAAGCACATGGGCTGCGTCCAGCTGTGAGCTGTGTCTTCTATCTTGTAGCTGAATGCACAACCTGGTGGGTTACATGTTTTTTTTTTCTTTCTTTCTTTCTTTCTTTCTTTTTTTTTTTCCTTAATCAAGTCACTGCAGTGATGACCTGTATTGTTAAGCCTCAGTGCTAAGAGCTTGGTATCTGGCTGGGAATGTGGTATCTTTAACAGCAGAGCTTACTGAAGATGCAAATAACTTCCTCCCCTCAGAAAAGTTTCTTTTTTTTTTTTAAGATTAAAAAATAGACATTTAAAATTTGATTTGCTTTTTGTTTTTCTTTTGTTTGTTGTTTTTTTTTTTCCCCCCCTATAAACCTGAACAATGTAGGTGTCTAGTCACATACAGGTCTTAGCAAGAAAGAAAGTTCGAGAAATTCAAGCCGCCATTAAGGTACGTTTGGCTTGCCCAGTTGTAGGGGGCTTTTCATCTCCATGGTTACAGGCTTTTCCTTTGTTTCCTCCCTTCCCCTACCCTGCAGGTGTCTAGTCACATTCAGGTTCTTGCCAGAAGGAAATCTCGTGATTTTCATTCCAAGCTGAAGGTATGCGCTTTTCTGCTTTTGGGCTTGTGGTTGCTATGCCTGTCCCTTCCTCCTCCCCGCGGTGATGGGCGAGCGCTGGGGCTGCTGTGCCTGTAACCTCCTTTTCCTGCATGTGGGAACTGTCTGCGTCTCTTTGTGTTTAATCTCCGGTCTCTGCACTAGCATCCACATTAAAAACGTTGTTTTAACACTGTCCAAATGCAAAGTGAACTACTCTTTGTAACAGCTCAGCACCTAAACCTGATTTTTTAACCCGTTAGTCCGTTTTTTATTTCACTTTTTAACAGCTGAGTGGTTAGAAGTGTGTTTAAATACACAGGGGTTTTACGCAGTTGTGTAGATGCTTTTTGTCTTTTTTTTTTGTGCGTTTTTTTTTTCTTTTTTCAGAGGGGTAATTGGGGTTGTTGTTTTCCATTCCCAAATGTTTTTTGTGCTTCTGAAATGCTATCAAGAATTCTTAAAACAGATCATTTATTCCAAGTGCCAGAGAGCACAGCTTATCTAGATTGCTCTAACTGTATGGTGTTTCTAGAGTACAATCTAGTATCACCTCAAGTTACCCACTATTTACAAGATTCCCTGAAATATAATGTTTTTGAAGTAAATTATTGACATTTAGTCTTTGGAGAGCCTCAGTCAGAGTCCTGTTCAGGGAATATTAAGTATGTTTGCTTAATCTGACATGATGAATTGTACATGTCCCTATTTCCCATGCTTTCAATAAAATATATTCTAAGGCTAAAAAGAAACTCTTGGAAATGTTTAATAGGGGTTTCTTGAATTGCTTGTTTTTTCAAGTTTTCCAACAGAGATCTTTGAGACCTGTTTTGTTTTCACACTATTTAAAAGTGGAAGAGGGGGTTTTACAGTTTTTGCCATTGATTTTTTTCTTCTTTTTTTTTTTTTTAATAAAAAGCAAAGGAACTTGTAAATCTTTTACTTCCCTTCTTTTTTTTTTTTTCCTTTTTTTTTTTTTTCTTTCTGTGGGTTTGGGTGGTTTTTTTTTTTCCCCCCTCCTTCGCCCGGATGAGAACAAATCACGTTTTTGTTCTAGCTGAAAAGCAAAATGTTTCAGAAAGTAATTTCACAGCACTGAGCGGTGAGCACTGCAGATGCTTACCCCCATCCTTGAACTGCAGCGTGTAAATAACAGCCTGGCTTTGTAACAGGCCTCCTTGACAGAAGCACTGGGTTTTTCGTCCGCAGTGGGCAGCATGCTGGCAAGCTTGTCTGGCTGTTGGTGGCTGGCTTTTTAGCTGCACTGGCTGAGCAGTTGGGGTTCGTAAAGAACAAACTAAGACAACTTAAACGTACTGCTTTTTAACCGAGGGTGCAATAATACAGAGATATGTAGCATTTTAAGCCTCAAATTGTCAAGCCTTGATGCCTAAAATTAAGTACGTTAAATAGGTGGCCTTGCTTTCAGAGGTGCCAAGCACCAGCAGCTCTTGGAGTTTTAGAGGGCTGGTGAGAGCTGCAAAAATCAGGAAGCCCACTTAGGTGCCAAATACAGGCCTAGGAGCTGAACACAAGTATTGGATTTACTGCTCTAAAATATTTCCCTTTCTGAAAGACCAAAATAGCTTAAAGTATGAAGACACTTATAAAGCAAAAAACATTTTAAGTACTGCACCTGCTGTCTAATATTTATTGAAGCTTTCCAAAGAAGAAAGAATTAGCCAAACCCTAAGAATATTTGAGCCCCCTATCTTAGATGACATATGCAGTAAATAGAGATCTGGAGGGAATTTTCGTTTCAAGGAGTTGCCTGAAGAAGGAAAGATCTGTTTGGATAACAAAATATTTTGTAAGGGCTCCAGACCTTGCTGCCCTTTCTCAGCTGTCCATGAGCTGCAGCTCCCCCAGTGTTGAGTAGAAAGTGGGGGAGCTGCCATTTTACTGCTAGGAACTGATGGCTTCAGGAAGATTCCCTGTCTCCATGCCCCGACACTCTGCAGGGACATTTGCTTCAACTCTCTGCGGCACCATGGTGGGGACAGAGTGCACACCGGTGACAGAGGTTTGCTGGCCCCTGGCCTTGCTGTCCTCCTGCATCACTGATGGCAAAGGCTACCCCAGCCCTTCCCCAGCAGGTCTTGCTGGCTGATGGGTCCAGGCTGCTTGTCCTACCCCTGCTCCCAGGATTAGCTCCCTCAGGAACCCTGACACAGCCTTGGTTACTCCTCCAGAGCCCCAAGCCTGAGGGGTGCTCAGGAAGGGTGAAGGAGCCAGGCTCTCCACACCTCCCTCATCTTTTCCTTGCCATTCTTGGTCCCAGCGAAGAAGGAGCCATGGCATGACACTTGCCCCCTTGCACATATCCCTTCTGGAGAAGGGGCAGCCTCCCACAGAGCTTTTCCTCCCCACATGGAAGAGATGAAAGTTGCATGTAAGAAGGTGCCATAAGGGAGCTGCCTTATGAAGAAGAGAGCTCTTGCTCTTCCTCCTGGGGAGCTCCAGTTACTCCCTGCAAGTGGTAGAAGCTGCTGGTTTTGAACCTGAGGTGGAACCTTGCTCCTCCAGATATTTTGTTAGTGCTACCGCCCGTTTTTCATATTATTCCTGTATTGAACCGCCTGCATGGTTCAGTGTCACACAGAATCATGGACTGGCTTGGATCAGAAAGAGCCTCTGGAGATCATTTAGTCCAACTGCTCCTGCTAAAGCAGTTTCACATAGAGCAGGTTGCAGAGGACTTTGAAAACTGCCTGAGAAGGACATCACTGATGCAAAAGGAAGACAAGGTGAACGAACACGTTGCAGCACCTCTAAGTGCCGACTGTTTCAACAAGGACCATTTTGGCAGCAGCCTGGGCTGCCCCATCAACCTTTTCAGGAAGATAATGGGCTCTTGCTCTCATGCAGCAGATGCTGCCCACATTTCCTGGCGAAGGAGTGACCAAGAGGAAGACAGAAAGTGCTCCTTTTTACACAAGTGACTTTTTACATGAACATGTACAGGACAAAGGGAATGGGTTCAAATTGAGAGTAGGTTTAGATTAGATATTAGGAAAAAATTCTTTCCTGTGAGGGTGGTGAGGCACTGGAACAAATTGCCCAGAGAAGCTGTGGCTGCCCCATCCCTGGAGGTGTTCAAGGCCAGGCTGGATGGGGCTTGGAGCAACCTGGTCTAATGGACCTGGTCCCAGACCACAACATAGGGATTAGGACTAGATGATCTTTAAGGTCCCTTCCAACCCAAACCACTCTATGATTCTATGCTTCCTACCCAGGGCAACTCACCCTTTTAACAATAAGCTGGCACTTGCAATTACTCTGTAAAATCTGTGATCAGTGGCATCCAGGGTAGTAGTTACTACTTAAAAGAACCCTCACATGCATCTGATGTCAATTTTCTTTTAAGATGTGGCTGATCTGATCTGTCCCACTGACCTGGGCCTCTTAGTCCCATTGTTCCTGGCCTCTTAGCTTGATGAAGGGTAAATACATATAACCCTCATTCCCCAGGTGCCAGCTGAGTTTATTTTATACCAGGAGATCTTACTGTCTTGCCTTGGTCTGAAACCTGCTCATGGCGAGGAGAGGATTTGGACAACTCTTCTTGTGTTTATCTTCTGCAAAAATCCAGAGGGATGGAAGGATTTCAGAGCTATCCACACCTATGGCATTGGACAGACTCTTACTGAAACTTACCTAACAGGTTGAAATCTCACCTGCTTGCCATAAAGTCTGCTTGGTCCAGCAGAGTCCCTTGTCTTTGATGAGAAGTGCCTGCAGTTGCTGTGGATGGATGGATCCTTATCCTTCAAGAGAGCAAAGTTGTGCCCATGAATGCTATTGCTGTGTTTCAAGACCACCAGAAAAGAATGTCCCCTCAGCCCTTCCAGGGATGTCATATATTTTAAATTTTTTTTACAGCTGGAAAATACTCCTATTTTAGAGATTTTAATCTTAATTTACTGAGGTTATTAAAATCTTCCTGAAGTTAAGAGAAATTTAATCTCATGAAAACGGGAAGAGAGGCTGAGATAAAGTTGTCCTTGGAGGCAGATCTGAAAGGCGGCTCCTCTTCATGGCATTTCCTCTCACGCAGAGACTGGAGGAGGCAAAGCAGAATTTTTGCACTCTAATGCTGTATTTCCCAGTCAAATACACCAGTCCATAGTGTTAGGTTGCAGCATTTCCCACTTTTGCACTGACAGGGAGCCAAAGTCATCTCTGCCCATTCAGGAGAAAGGATGGATTGGACATTGTACATAAACAGAGTGTAAAGGTGCTCACAGCAGGATATACATCTATCTTAGGCTTTCATATCAGATATTTTTTTTCATAGTGCAAGATTAATTAGACAGAAACAAAAAGAAACATTAAAATGCCTACAGTTCACATGTATTACATGTTTAAAAATCCATTATTCTACATCCTGCATTGAGGGATAAAAAGAAAAATATTGTTGTCAATTATAAAATGCTAAAGATAGCTCTATACTTTTTAAATGAACAATGATAAAAGCCTTGAAAAATTCCCTTTGATGTGAATGGAGTCTTCAGCATTTTGAAATACAATAAGATGGATTAATTGCTACTCATTAGGCAGCAAGTTGGGACAGCTTTGAATGCGCATTCTCTTCTTGGCATTAGCTATTGCCTGGCTGAAATAGCCAGCTTTTGTATTTACTCCTGTCTTCTCTAATAATAAGCAAATTGGAGATCAGGGCTAGAAACACTGAAGTGCTCTCTATCTTTTGTCCAGAACAATTGTATATTGTCATGATTTGTTTATCTTTTTTGAGCTACAGCTAATTATTGCAAAGGTTATTTGAATCAATACGAGATCTGAGCAGAAATAACATCTGCAAAATTGCTTATTAGGAATCTATTTTATGTTAGTGTTACTGTAACATCCATTTTGTGAGCAAATTGTTGTTTCTTCTCTTATGTCTTTTTTTCTTTTTTTTTTCTTTACATGAAAAGTTTTGTATTTTACATATGGGTACAGGTTTTAGGGCTTCTTGAATTAATACTGTTCTATTGTACTTACTTTTCCTCATACTGTCTTAGATTTTTTTTTTCTTCCAAAGTCATAGATAACATGCTATTCAAAGCCCCATTTATCATGCTAGGATAACAGGTTTTATTTTTTGCTCTAGAACTTGTTTGAACTGATTGATTGAATTATTCTTCTGTTTATGTTGGATTAAAAGAAAGTCAAGCACAAATCCTTTTGTGCTTGTCATGTAGAACTCTTGTTTCATGTGGGGCTTTTACAGATATTAAGATTTATAATTGGATGATACTGGGGAATTATTGTTATCTAATTTAACTATGTTTTTTGCATTCCAAAACTAATCAGTGAAAAGTAAACCTTAAGGGCCTGATTCATTAAAAGTTATAGTCTCCTTGCATTAGATTCTTAGAGCTTACATCTTTCAAAAACAAAGTGTGTGCAACTGCAGCCAGAAGCAATTGGCTAAAACAAGAGGCAGACCTTGATCTCCATTACAGAGATGATATTTTAGGGATTTAGTGGGACTAGAACAGTTTTCCACTGATTATACTCTAAATCCACCTTGGAACATTCATTACTAATTATTTAGCACAGTACAGGAGAAGACTTTTATAAGGGGAAGGGAAGGCAGGAGTCTGGGTGTGCAGCCTGTTGCTTTCTGTGTCATTCCTGGGCAGCAGCAATCCCATCTACCTCATAAATTACGTAGGGTCAAACCAGGTCAGGGCCAGATGGGACCTATCCAAGGAATACCTTAAGCTCCAGCAGTATTTAATGATTTAATAGGAGATACTGTCCCCCCAAGCCTCTGCTGAACTTCAGCACAGGACTGCAGCACACTGGGCCAAACTTCTATTTTACTGCATCAGTTTAAACCTCATTAACCTGAAAGAATTTCTTCCAGCTTTACACAGCAGCACAAGTGAGAGCAAACCCAACCCCCTTCTGTCTTGGACAAGATAGGAAATCAAAATCTTAACTATTTGCAGTCATTAAAAATCTCACAACGTTCCTGTTTAGAGTAGGGGTGTTAACCCATTTGTCCTGGCCAAATTCCAACCTGGGTAATTACTGTAATCTGCCTGTTTAAATTCCCCCTGCCATTTTAATTGGATATATTACTTCTCTTGCTGCCTAAACTGTGATGTAATACCACTGTGTGTTGTTATTAATCAGTTACCAAGTTTCATCCCAGAAGCGGCCGCCGTGCAGTGATAGGTAGAAAGACTCATTCCCTCCTGGTTACAAGTGCTCTCCATTACAGCATAAAAAACCCCAACATCTACTTGTTTTTAAGTGGCAGACAAGCTAATATTGCAATCTAAATAAGCAGCTTTAAAATGTGGTTGTCTCATTTGTTTCTGAAGACTATGAAGCCTGCCCAGTTACACAAGCATGGTCCATCACCTTGCAGCTCTCCAAAATGTAGCTGAAGGTGCTCTTTTGCCAAGGGAAGTTGGGATCTCTTATATATTTGTATCTGACTTCGATTTCTTTCATGTTTGAATGTGAAAGTTACAGTTACTTTGAGAAAAACTGATCTTCCAACTGTGCAGAGATTCCTAAACCTACAAAAGATGAAACTTCCCATTGATGTTTGTTGGCCTGAGTCCATGTCCCGTGGAGCTGGCAGATTTGTCACCAGTGGGAAACTTTGTGGGAGTTGTTGAAACTCCTCAAAACTGGCCCAATTGCAAGGACTGTATTTCTGAGCTGTCATTCCAAATGTTTTTTTTTTCTTTCTCTCCATCCTCCTAATAATGCAATCGATCAAAAGAGGATGAAATGAATGGCCACCACAAAATGCAGAACATTCTAGGGTGAAAACCAGCAACTGGCAAAAAGGAACGCACATCCCATTTCACGTCATGAAAGAAAAAACCTCCCAGGAATGGACTTTTCTATCCCTTACAAAGCTTTTACTTTCAAATGCTTCTTTAGTTTAGACCCATCCAATAGTAAGGCCATTTTAGCAGCAGAAGAGCATGAGTCTGGGAACTTGGCAGGAGCACAGGCACTGGCTGCACCTTCGTGTGATGGCACTGGCACAGCTGGTGGCAGGGCAGGAGGCAGTGCAGGAGAGGAGCCTGTAGTGCCCACAGCGCTTCTGGAAAATAACAAGGTAGTCACAAAAGCAGGGCTCACGCAGTTTTGGAAGTTACTAGGACCCAAAGACACACACAAGGTATCCATCCCCTGTACATTTGGTTTTGTTATGATTCAGCAGGCTGTGTGTGAGACTTACATGGTTGGGCATTTCCAAACCAGCTCCCCTTACAAAAAAAAGGGGAGAAATGGATCAGGGAAGTCTGGTGGAGTTAGATCTCCAAATTGCTTAAGGACATCTCATTTTCATGATGGAGGGTCCGTCCTTACTGTACAAGAAGGTAGAGGGGTCTGGAGAGCTGCATGAATCTCAGGACACTGCCACCTCTTGACACCCACCAAAGCATTGTTTTAGCCCAGTGGCCTGCAGACATCCAAAGGCAGCCAGTAAAACACGCCATGCACAAACCTCCCGTTCATACCCTCCCACCCTGGGGCAGGCAGAGGTGAGTGCCAGTAGCTGACAGAGCCAGGACTGACTTCCAGCTCTTAACCAGCAAGTTGGTTGTGGTTATATACGGGAAAGCTGCAAGCTGGAGAAACGGCTGAGCTTTGTCCAGACGCTGGTGGATGTCAGTGACGGGAGAGAAGCTGCCCTGAGCTCTGGGGAGGGGATCCCGAGGCTCAGACAGGTCGGAAGGTGGTGCCTGGGAGTGCAGTGCTGGCACAGGAGGCAGTGCAGCTAAGCCTACAGGTGTCAGAGCTTCTCAGGCATCCGAGGGCTGCCCTTCAGGCTCACATCCTTCGAGGTGCAGGGGGGAATGATGTTGGAGCAGCCACTGCCCTGCTCCACCTGCTGCTCTCCCGGGCTGTGTCCTGCAGGGGCTCCTCACACAGCTCAGGGAAACACACACACTCAGCAACAATCCCCCTCATTCAGCACCTGCAACTTCCTCACAGGGAGCTTTGGGTTATTTCTCCCCAGTGTTTTGCTGTTATTTTCTTAATCCTTTTTTTTTTTCCCCACTTTTAATGAATCAGTCCCTAGGTAAAAATAATGCATTTGTTTAAAGCTTATATTTAATATTGAGCAAACTGCTCTTCCTTTGTCTCTTACTATTTTGTTCATATTTTGCTAAGAATCTGCTATTCTACACAAGCATTTTAATAAACTGTTTGTTGTTGTATCCAGGTAACAAGCATGGTAAGTATTTTGACTAAACCAAGTATTATGTACCTTAGCTGTGCTTGGCAGAATTTTTGGCTAGCTTTTCCTGTACTTTCAGCCTGTGCTGTTTCTAAAGGAGCTATTCAAAGGAAGAAACTGCTCACCTATAGTACTACTACATACAAGCTTTAGAGGGAGCATATGTGCAAAGTCATATATCATACATAAAAGCATGCATCTCTTGCCAGCATGCTTGCTACTTTGCTTGTAAAATAAAACCAGAAAAAAACCAAAAAAATACTTGCTTAATACTGCTTGTGTTCCTTCATTTTAAGTCACATACCTAAATATTAGTACTTATTAATACAGTACTTTTGAGTGAGGAACCCCACTTTACCTGATAGTAACAGTCTGTTGTTTACTTGTTTTGCCTGACCTAAGATATGCCCTTGGTTAACTCTGTTGCATTAAGAGGCTTTCCCTTTCTATTCTGTGATCATACATGATTGGCAGTGACTAGGACTCCAAGCGCTGCTCTAACACAAGTAACATCTCATCTTTTCCTAAACTCATTCCTGTGTGCTTGAAAACAGCAGGAATTTTATCGCTGATAGTTTTCTTTGGGAACACTGTACAATCAGTAAAATACCGCAACTGAAAATTTAAAATGTTACTTACATGTTTGTGATCTAAATTTTAAACTAGCTGTCGTAAAACCGAATCCAAAATGTCTCTGTACCTGTGAGCACGAAGGAAAATCTGTCACTGTTTGCGAGTCAGTCGCAGTTCCGTGCTCTCATTTTACAGTGTAATACGAAAGGCAAACTTCTCTTAGATCAAAATGATAGAGCTCAAATCTCAGTGCTCCCTGTCCTGCAGGCAGAGCTGAGCCTTAGCAGCGCGCCCTGTTTAGTCGAGCCTGATTTAAAATCAGGAGAATTTGCCCAGATAAACAAGTGGGCAGTAGTTTGCTCTCCCAGAGCTTCCTGTATGTTGGCAGAGCAGACTGTGAGAATTCAGGTCTACCATGCATGTCTGAGAGGAGATTTTGCCTTGAGGTAGTTTGAGTGTTAGCCTCCGTGCTGTATTTTTTTTTTTCCTGCATGGTTTGCTATTTTTGCATTTTCTGTGTGGCTTTTTAAGTTTTTAGTTATGTGCTTGTAGCTGCAGTTATTTAACATCATTTGTTGTGCCAAATGTTTTAAGACTCCATGTAATTGTCATATTAAAGGATCAGACAGCAAAGGACAAAGCACTCCAGCACATGGCAGCAATGTCATCAGCTCAGATAGTCTCAGCTACTGCTATTCACAACAAGCTGGGCCTGCCAGGAATTCCCCGTCCTACATTTCCTGGGGCACCTGGGGTAAGTTGTTAGCTGAGTCCCAAAAAAATCCCTGTGTTCTCTAATAATGTTCAGTAGAAAACTAAGGTGGAATGAGTGGATTAATGCTTTCACTTATGTTTGCAAAAGGAATCATGCTTGTTCAAAAATATCCAAAACATATTTCTGTCAAAGAGAACAACTGTGGGTCTGTTTGTTTGTTTTTCCTCTTTCAGTTTTGGCCGGGCATGATTCAAACGGGGCAGCCTGGATCCTCACAAGAGTAAGTCTGAAAATTAAAATATGCTTCTTTATCCAGTGCGAAACTGGCTTGTGCACTTTGCCAGAAGATATCAGGGAAGCAAGAACTTGCAAATTTTTTCCAAAAAGGAGGTAAAGGTAGTTGTAGAGAAAGAAAGAATCTTTACAGTGATGCGAACTCACATTCAGAGAATTGTAAGATGGGCACCCTCCTTTTTCTCCTGTTGCACCGTGAGATGCAATGATAATGCCAGGGAAGCAGCTAGTAACGTTTTTTGTCTGTGAATATGTTTCCAGTACAAATGCTTCCATCCACTTTTAAACATGTCAGCAGTGCTGGAGGCAAGGGGGACCTATTTTCCTGCATGAGGCCCATTAGTGGGGTTTCAGCACTGTGGTAGCAACAGCACCATATGGAGGAGGAGGCCTTGTCCCCTCTGGCCAGTGTTACGTTTTCTGCCCTGCCGTGGTCTCTGGAGCAATGTTTTCCAGCCTTACTTTTCAGCTTCTGCTCACCTCATTCCACTAAGGTCCCTGAGAGTGTTTGTGCCCCTGTAGTTCAGTGTCCTCTGGATTTACTGGGAGTCAAAGCAGTCACCATCCGTGGCTACTGTGACACTTGTGGAGGACTGGTCAGGTTTCCTGCTGCGTGACTCAGTGCAGATGAGCCCCTTGCTTTAAGGTGTAATCCTCATTCCACCCCCTCTCTATTATCTCTTTGCTGTCTGTCTGTTAAATATGCCATGCAAGGAAGAGAGATGTTTGTGGGTAAAGGTCATTACCCACTTATGTTGTTATACTATGTGACTCTACTGGAATTTACTGTGGATGGCATGGTGTATGATTTCTGTGTAACTCTTTATTCCAGCGTTAAGCCATTCGTTCAGCAGGCCTATCCTATACAGCCATCAGTCACAGCTCCCATTTCAGGTAATCCTTCCATTTATCCTCTCCCTTAAAAATAGTTGAATTTTGTACTGAATGTGATGTGTTAATTTCTGACCCGGGCAGAGCCACTACTTCTGATCTCACATTTCCTCTAGCCAAACCAAACACCAATCCCAGTGTGCTATTATCTGATTATGTCTTAGAGAAAATCATTGAGTTTGGTTTTTTTTTTAGGTAGGAAGCACCAATACATGTGCAAGGAGTTGTGATACACGATAGCCAGTCAGCATTCCATACTGTAGGAATTATTGTAAAAAATTAGTAATAGGATGCATGTTTCTTTTTTAATGGCTATTTGACAAGAATACACCTTAGTTTATTTTAAACTGAGCCTAAAAACCCTTCCAAAGTCATATATGTTTAGCCTTAAGTATGAAACATCTCTATGTATCTGCTTGTTTATAACTCTTGCCCTCCTGAAGGTCCTGCTTTGCCTCGTACCACTTTAAAAAGTACCTAATGTTTAGTCTGACTTCTGTTGCTCAAATCGATCAAGCCCTTCCCATGGCTACTTCCCTGCTCCTTTTCCCAAGTCAGTTTCATGTCTAATTTCAGGAAAGATCATTATTTCTTTGCAGATGAGATCTCATTTTACATCTCGCTTGCCAAATGTCACCATCTTTCTGTCTCTGTGCTGCAGTTTTTTGACTCTTACCCAGTTTTTTATGATTTTCTAACATGCTATTTAATGCTTAAAACTACAGGTATCTTTCTGCATTCATGATTATGTCCTTTTTCCTGATATTCCTAATTTATAACATTATTTTCTAAGGCAATGTATGGTCTTCTTGTATTCTTTAAAGTTTTCTCTGAGAATAGGATTATTAGTATTTCCAAATCAGTCAAAACTGGTGCATGAGTTTTTGCTTCATTAGAATCCTGTTCATGTCTAACTAGTCCAGTTCATAATTCCCTGTTTTGTACAAGCCTCTCACCTTCACTGCCTAAATTTGAGGGTTGGGATCAGGTACCACACTCCCATTATGGGATATGGGCACATGCTACCTGTGACCTCTCCCTGGTTCTCAACTTAGTTCAGGATTATCTTTGTTCTCTTACCTTTGGTCCCTCTCCTCTGCCTTCCTTGTGCTCGTGTCTCTCCCAAGATGAGTTTTGCCTTTGAGCTGCTGCCTTTCCCTCTTCCTTTGCTGTTTTCTTTCCTTCTCATCTAATTTTCTACAATGAGGACCAAAAGATAGCATTTATTCCTTCTCTTGAGGTGAATTAGAGATGCTGGTTAACATCCCTTCTCTGTCTAGATCATGCCATTCTCTCTTTATTATCAATTTTAAAATCTTCTTTTTCTTTTTAGGGTATGATTCAGCTCTCTACAGTAATTATTTATTATTAGCTGTAATATAATGCTGCCTAAAAGCTCCAAAAGAAGTCAAGACCCAATGTGCAAATACGTACTAAGAGACAGTCCCTACCTTGGAAAGCTTGTACTTCAAATAGGAGAGGGGAATTGAGAGTGGCAGAAGAAATAGGCAAAAAGGGAGGTGATTTACTTGTAGCATGTGGCACATTAGGAGCCAGAAATGGAGGCCAGTCCTCTTGACTCACAAGGCAGTAATATCTCCTGTGAGTCTTGATGCCAGTTTCCAAGGAAGGGTCGGTCAGCTGTAAGCCTAGGTGAAGTCTCTATAAATCTCTATAATCTAGTATATAATTTAAACAAAAATTCTAGGGTAAGTTACAGCCCAAAGGAAACAAAGTAGTAGATCTTTTCATTATTAGCTTGCTGGATTGGAACCTCTATTTCTACATGTTGTTCTGAGATTTTCCAATTTTAGCTCATTTTGATTTAATTATTTGCTAAAATTAATATAAATATCCAAGGGCTACACGCATAATTCCCAATTATATTTAACTGAGAAAATATAAACTGAGAAATTGTCAACTTCTTCATGAAAATGGTTCCTTTATTTCAGGATTTGAGCCTACATCAGCTCCAGCTCCCTCAGTCCCTGCGTGGCAGGGCCGATCAATTGGTACGACCAAGCTCAGGCTGGTGGAGTTTTCGGCTTTCCTTGAGCAGCAGAGGGATCCTGAATCAGTAAGTGTTGCCCTCGTGTCCGCTGATCTCCAGCTGTGCTCCTTTGCTCCCCACCCTGTGAGGATGCTTTCCAGGGTTAAGTCTGATGGAATACACCCGGTGTTTCTGCATTTGCTGCTGCTCAGTGTAATATTCCTTTCGCTGCAGGACTGTATTTTCCTTTCTTGCCCTCTTTTTCCCTGTTTGCAGCAGTGAGAGGCCTCTGTGAAAGCAGGCAGGGTTCGCTGTGGCGCTTGTCTCACTGCTGACCTAGTTTAGCAGGTGTACCAAACTGCATGGTGTTCTTGGCAAGAATTCAGTACTCGAACTCTAAGTTAAAGCCTAATCTATTTCCCAACAGAAACAAAACTAAGGACTTGCATAGAAAGTGTGCATATTGGATTTTTTTTTTTTATTTTTTTTGAGGAAGTTTTTCATTTTGTTTCAATTTTTAGTCTGCACACTATACCTGCAAGAGTAGTTTTATGAAGTTGGCTGTAATGTTGCATTTGCTCCAGTAGGGCTTGAACCTTGATATTAATCTTCATATATTTACCAAGAACATTTGTTAGTAACCTAGCACTGTCTCTACTGCATCGCAAATAAATCAAAAGAACTTCTTTCAGCTCAAACCTGAGAATTTTTGCCGAGATAACTTCAGAAAAGCAAATACTGTCATGAACGTGTGATACAGACAGACCATGCTTGTTCAAATTCCTGGTAAAGTACAGTAGCTTGGAGCAAAGAGAAGCTGTCATTTTCTCTTTATAATTCAGCACTGGAAACCATAGCATTTATGGGCTCTGGCCAGGGGTATTATCCAGGGTGTGTTTACCCTGCATAATGGGGATTGGAGACATAGCCCAGAAACCTTACAACAGAGGAATGCTCCTGGCAGAGAAATATCCCAGTGAAAATACACTGTATCTCAGCTATTCATACACTAAATGCGTGGCAGTGTTGTTTTGCTAAATGTCACATTTTGCGCAGTTGAATTAACTTGGAGGTGGAGGAAATGTTTGGCAGCAGGTACGGTTATCTCGTCACGTACCTGACTGTTAGGTATTGCATGGTTTCCCTGGAATCCCCTTGCCTTCCCCTGGCCCTGACTCCCATGGTCTTGTGGCAATCCTGGCTCTGGTGGGCTAAAGCTCCATCTTAGTCTCCTCCAGACTAATCCAGAACACCTTCTCCATCCCACACCCCGAGTTCATCCAGACAGAAGTTTATATTTCTGACGCAGAAACACAACATCCAGGTTTTCTCATCAGTCAGCCTTATCAATATGCAGCTTTCGGAGTCCTTGGCTCGCTGACCCCGTGTAACATGTCCTGCTGATTTATGGGCTCTGCCATATCCAGACTGCTGCACTCCAGGATGTATGTGTGTGCCTCGGGAAAACAGGATGTGGCCATGTAATGCTCAGCGTTACTGTGCTCTGTGTGAATGAAGTGGCATTTCAGTGCAGTTTGAGTTACTGTTTTGCCAGTGTACCACCTAATTATCCCTTTTCCATAGGTTTTATAACACAAAACTGTATGCAAAACCTGTGGGCTTACATGATCTAGAGCCTCCTGTGTATCTTCGGGGCTTTACGTAGAGAGAGTAAACAGGAGTTCAGCAACTGAGCAGCTTCTGTGTCTTTCTCCCTATGAAAACTCCCCCTCAGACCAAGCACACTCATAGATCACATGTGGCCCGTCACATCACTGGTGTCTGCGGTGTGGAACCAGCTGAGTGACGTGAACGTATTTGCAACACGACTGACAGACCAAAAGGGAGAAGTGTGCCGCTCTGCCGGGGTGGGAAGGCCCGGAGCTGGCTGGGCTCACACACGGTGTGTGGGCTGGCAGCCCGGGGACATGAGGGGGCTCCCATTTCTCGGGCAGGTGCAGGCTCTGGGGAATGTGATGCATCCACTGGCATTGCAGGGAAAGAGCGGAGGCCTGAAGAGAAACACGGTTACCCAGGACGGCCCCACAAATACCGTAAAGCCTTTTTTTTTTTTGGAGTAAACTAATATTATTTGGAATTCCTGAGGGTGCAGAGGCCCACTGGAGCTTGTCCCAGCTTGCAAGAACACTGCTGAGAAACCCACCTTTTAAATGCAGAGTGTTTATGTGCAAGGTTTAGGAGACAAGCAAGAGCATCAAACTACCCGGACTTGTTTTTAAAAAGACAGTTACTCCTGTGCTGTAACACTGCAAAAATTGGACACAAAGAAAAGTCAATTCCCAGTTTAGATCATTCTTAACACCCATGCTGCAAGTGCAGTGGGGCAGCACTGTGTGAGGGCTGTGTGGGGACAGCTTGGACCGTGCAGGTGGGTGCCGTGGGGAGCCAAGGGATGAGCCCCCATGGGCACTGTGTCACCATCACTGCCTGGGAAAGGGGAGTCAGGAGAAGGGGAAGTGTCGTTTGGATCAAATTAAGTAAATCTGATTCTTTGGCACTTAAACAAAGGCCTGGAAGAAAACCCCAAGGCAGTGTGACCAGTTCCCAGGGCAAAGGCAGTAGGATATTTGCTGGAGGGCACTGGGCAGAGGCACTGGTGCACGACTGTTTGCAGGGTCAGCTCTGTGCCTTCTGCCTGCCTTACCCATGTCCAAGGCACAGACTTTTCCAACAAGCATTAAAAGTGTTCCTTGGAGGTGAGAGCAAACCCCCAGCCTCATTTAGTGCCCTTGCAGTGTCTGCAGTTTTGCACATCTTTGTGTTGGTGAGACATTTTATTGCAGATGTTTCATTACTTTTTAAATAACAAAATCAAGGCAGGTGAGATGTGTATTTGCACAATGTGCATATGAAGTCGTGTAGGCATGTGCTGTGGTTGCAGCATCTCCTTTGTGCCTTTGCTGACCTTAGAAATTAATATATGTATGTGCTGCTACACAAGAGCCATGTAAGAGTTCTCTTGTATCTTCTGAAAAAAAAAACCCAGTCATATGTTCATTACACTGACTTTTTAAAGAAAATGACATAAAGTATTATTTTGGTCAAATGTGCTTCCAACATTTTATCAAAAAAAGGTGATCCTACGTCCTTCTCTCCTCCAACCCAAAGTCGTAGTAGTGGGGGCAAATAGAGCAATTCCACCTTAACATGTAACCTGAAAGTTTATTGAAAAAAGCTTATTTGACATGGCCCCTGGGGCCAGGACTCGATGATCCTGGGAGGCCCCTTGCAGTCTGTATTCCTGTACAGCAATTAGAAATTTAGGTTTGTCTGCCTGTGGTGACTCCCAGAGACTGCAGTGGGGCTGTGCATGGGCACAAAGGTCCACCCACAGGGAATTCATTGTAGGAGTGGGGCCTTAAACATATCTGGGGTTCTTCCAATGGCAATTGGTGATTAAAAGTACAAAAGCCCCTCAATGTCAGGCAGTTATTTTGGTTTAGAGTGGGCATTCTGTTGAGTCCAAAGTCTGCTCCATAGAGTCCTGTCGCTTGTGGGGGGCTGTTGACTTTTTTCCCTTATCTAGCCACAGAATTGTTCCATTTATAAAAGAAAAAAATTACAGAAAGGAAACAATAAGCAACCCTCACTGTAACTCTGCATGGCAGAAGACAGTCTGGCAGATATAAGATGGCAGAGTTGCGAAATACTGGAATAGTGACTCTGCAGTTAAGGATGGGTAAAATTGCCCCTCCTTTTACATGAAAATCGATTCAGTTTACAAATGTCAACTTGTATTTTCCTTTTGTGGCATTTTGTGCTGGAGTACGATTCCTGAGTGGTGCATAGAAGTTACCCTTGTAGGTCCAATCATCAGCATTTCAGTTACCTTTAGTTGTTGCCTGCCCTATATAACTATATTCTCAACAGATGAAGCAGTTTATGTGCCCATCTGTTGCTTCCAAGACAGGTTTTCTTAATGGGGGCTTTCCATTTTTGCTGTAGTGGTTCTGTGGTTCTGCCTAAACCAAGTAATTTGTTCTCTAACAAATATAAACTGAGCATGCTAGCTGATTAGAAAGGATCTAAGCAATTGACTGGTACACAAGTAGATATAAAATTCAAAGACTATAACACTGAAATGAGAATAATTATAATTATTTTATATATACATATATATATAGTCAAGCTTGATTTTCAATCAGAGAAAAAAGCCCTACCACCAACCAACAAAAAAAAAGCCCTTTCTTCTCTTCCTTTTCGAGGTTTCTCACTCTTGCTGTCACATTAATTTCGATTGTGAGCACTTCAGAAAACTTTATATTTAAAGTATCTATATAGGGCTATAAAGAACATGTCTGATGGGCATTTTTATTATTAGTCTGCCTATCCAAACTGTCAGGTCGTGTTAGGTCCAAATTTCAAAATGTATTTTAAAAAGTGGTGAAGAAATAAAATATTCTTTATGTTTTAATTCAGGTTTTATTGTTGTTGTAAAAGGACTTTGTGAGCCCAGGGAGAATTGTGCCTGAGAACCAGAAAGGGAAAGCAATTGCTCAAGGGGCCATAAAAACAGCCTGCCATCATTAGCCAAATGCAGTAAAATTCGCCAAAGTTAATCAAACCACCTAAGTGATGAAAAATAAATGAGATCTTTTCAAAAGAAACCCTCCATCCTTGAACAATATCCATTGTTACCAGCATTGTTTATCCTTTCTCTACTCCCTGTAAACAGTTTAAAAAGCAGTTCAGCATTTCAGTCATAAGGAAGTCCTTGGTTTAGCATCTCTGTGATGTGAGAGGACAAGAAATCAAACCCACATTAAGATGAATGTCTTGGAGAGACAGACTCGGGATTTGAGGTCATTTCAATCTGAAATCAGACGTAGTTTTACTGAGCTCAAGGGTCATTTATTTTGCAGTGCTGAAGAGCTACATGCTGGCCCTGGGACGTGAATGTCATACTCTGTAAAATGTTCATTTTCAAGTGTCTATGGTTAGAAGTGCCAAGAAATCACTTTAAAGGGGTCCAGCAGACTTCCCATCCAGCAGCTTTCCCCAGGATCCCATGGAGATGTGATGGGAGTCCTGGGCCAGCTTTCCTAGCCCAGTTGTAGGACCAGGAC